CTTAGATGTTCGCGCGATGATTTGTTTCATCGACTCGAATTGCTCGCCGATTCGTTCCGGATCGGCGTTTTGGAAGAAATAAGAAGCTTACCGGTTTAAAGGGCGCGCATTCATATCTCAAAAGTGGCGAAGAATTAGCATCTGAAGAAAACCGAAGAAACCGATATTGATATTTTACGGCGAGCGCGATCTTTACGCGCGCGCGAATAATGGCCGTTGCATTTCCAACCGGTTCGGATGAATGGGAATCGAAATATGAGGTCGAGAAAGGGGTACACAATGGGCACGACTCAAGCCTTATCAAAGAGGCTTAATTGCATTTTTATCGGGAATAAAAAATGAAGCATGAATCCGACAGCGCCGCGCTATCAACGTGCCCGCGCGCGGCTTTCCCGGTTCGCCCGTGTGGATTGGTCGAACGATGGTGACGTCGGCGGATATAGAATAGGTAACGGTGGTGGTGGGCGAGAAGGGGATGGCGAAGGGACGGCGGGCGCGGGGTTGCCGGGGAATGAATAGCAACGTGAAACAAAAGCACCGGGTTACAAATGGCGTGTATTCGCGACGGCATTGTTTTAAATGGCTGTCAGACGCCCGGAATTTATCCCGTTTTGCTACGTGACAAGCGCCATTAAATTTATTTATTCAGCCACGTAGCCGCGCGGGGTCGCAGACGCAGGAGAACTCCCAGAAGTCCCCGGTACACCGTCCCCCTATCCTCCCACCCCCGCCCCCTCCCCCTGCTCCAGCGTCCCCGCGGTGTTCTACAGGTGAAAACGAAACGGCGGACGAATATTGGGAACGTGCGCGCGATTGTAAGTGATGTATTGTAGACCGCGGTAATATTCTACGCGAAAAAAAGGAGAATAAAACGAAAGTGTGTGTTTTCAAATGTTGGAAATATTATTTACCCAACGAATATAAAAGTCAGCGGGAGAAATGCGGTCGCAGGTCGCGCAAAATTACTTATTATTTTTGTTTTTACATCTTGACAAACCTCGTTATAATTGTGAATGCGCAGCTAATTATAGACCGAGTTGACCGTAGAATATTATTTTGCAACGTGTCGTAATCGAAACGCGTGCGCACGCAGTGGTAATCGACATGAATATCTCTTTGAGATAATATAGGTAATAATTTCAAACATATGTGCGTGCACAAAAAAAAAAAAAGAAAGTAGTCGTAACAAATTACTGGATATAAACGTGTTATCCTGCGTTTTCACAATGGACTATCGAAGCTCTCAGGACTGTCACTCGCGATCACAAGGGCGCAGTGATTAATGAACACTCCTCGATATCTGAACGAGCAAACTTCATCGCGGCGGATCAACGAACGCGACCCGTTCCTGCGGAAAATTTCGTCTCTCTCTCTCTCTCTCTCTCGGTGTGAGAATTAAATGCGCGGCGATCGTTGCCGGCGGAAAGAGACGAGCCCGACCTGTTTCAAGGCTCGTATTAATTCTTAATTTCTTAATTTCAAGTCGACCGTTAAGTACGGCGTCAAAAGGATCTGGCCTTTCCATCGGTAACCACCGTATCCCCCTTCTGTACCTTCCTGCCGCTTCATCCACCCTCGTTTCCGGCTCTTCGACTGCCGAAGGAGAAAGACCGGGAACCGGGGAAAGAGGAAAAGAAGGACGTGGGCGGTGGGAGGGGGAAGAGGTTGAGAGCGAGCGCAATTAAGCTCTCGCTCTCTTCGGGGATCCATTCATTTTTCAGGTAACGTCGCCGGACGGCCTCATCTAAGTTTTAAATCGCGTGCTGGCGGCGGTCTGCGATACGCGACCGGCCTTGGGCGAGGGACGAAGGGAGGTGAGGGCTTCCCGCCAATTTATGTATATCGAGTCGAGAGATTTGCATTTACACTAACTATTACACTCGACTCTTTCTAGATTCTAATGACGGCAGGATGTTCCGTTGCTACGTAGGTACTTGGTAACGCGCATTAATATAGGTAATTCGACATTTCTATAACAGCGGCAAAGAGAGAGAACGCGCTCTTCATCTGATTGGGCTCTCTCATTGAGCTAACTTGAACGTGCTACTCTCGCGAATGATACAAGCAAGAATAATGTTGAAGTGTTCGTTATTTTTTTTAAGAAAAAGAATTGAATAAATATACATGGTTAAAAGAAAAAAATATGTACATGTTTTAATCGCGAATGCGAGTGTAGCTGTCTATTAAAACAAAATGGTTTTTGCGAAAAGTTTCATAAGTTGGAACGGCAATAGATATATAACGCATTTCCCAGCAATGCCATTAGCTTTATCAGCTGCCTCGCGGTCTAGCTATTTCGTCGAACAGAGATCTCCTGCGATCTGACTATCTCTCTCTCTCTCTCTCTCGCTCTCTTTTCTGCATGTTTCCGTGAAGCAAAAATGGAATCAGATATGAATCAGCGAGATGTAGCATCGGACTGACCTAGAGAGACCAGCGCAAGCGGGTACAAGTTTATACATGAAGAGAACTCGTCTCGCACACTTGTGTGTTTCAAGCACGTACCTCGCAGACACTTTACGAATGCAAACTCACACAAGGCCGTCAATGTCTGGTTGATAACGACACACCGAAAACAAAAGTCTTCAGACCTTCGCTCAGAACGCGAAAAAACACGGAGCAATTTCTTGCGATCGTGTATTCGTTAACCAACACCACGCGTATCGCTACCACACACACCAAAGCAAAAAAAAAAAAAAAAAAAAAAAAAAAAAAACCACCAACGAACAAATATAAACGCGAAGGCAGTCCCCGCTGAAACAGTTGCAACGCAATCAACGTGCGCTTTGTTGCGCGTATAAGAAAACACGTTCTAATTACTTTTGCATACAAATGGCGCGGTTCCAAATTTACGCCCTTCGGTTCATCCTCGTTGATCGCCTAGAGCGAATATAGCAAGATCGTGTGCGCCGCGCGCTCGTTGTCGTTGGGGAAATGTGTGCATGTGGGCGTGAACGTGAACTTGTGTGCCCACGTGTGTGCACCACGTACGTGGGAGGCGAATTCCGAAATGGCGTCGTATATACGTCCGCGCGCGTGCACGCTCGATGGTACCTCCCGATGTAGGTCACACACATAGAGACGAAGTCGAGCCGCTACGAGCCGGAAACTCTGCATTCAAAGCCGGATGAGAGACTTTCGGTAGGGACTGAGAGGGAGGAAAGGAGGCGAGAGAAAGAGAGAGCGCGGAACGGGGGAAGAGGAGGATGGGTTTAGGGGGGAGTTAGGCCGGAGATAACGGCAGGCTTTTGATATCTCAAGTCCATTTCTGGCTCGTGCTACGAGCCACGGACAAACGTCGCGTACGCCCTAACTTTCTTCTTTCTCTCTTCTTCCATCCGCCCCGCGCTCTATACTTCCACTATCCTCGACCCTTCGAAACTACATCGTGTCACCTGAGAGCCGAACACATATATCCAGTCTGCCGGCTGGAATCGACCAAGTTTCCCAATAAATTTCTATATCCGCCAGGCTGCATCTGCAACGGACGACCGGAGCCGCCTTATTATGCAGCCATTCAGCACTGCCAAATTTCCTCCATATCTCGATTCCCGCTATCGATGGTAAGCGGCATCGATTCTTCTGTAAGTGATTGCCCCGGCTATGATCGTTAATGCGCCGCGCGCGATACGCGCGCATTTGATCGTGACAAGAAATCTGATTCACCGCCTTAATGGAAAATAAAAAGTGTAGAAAAAAAAAACAAAATCATAAAAACTCCATCTGCTAAATTTTCGCATTGAAACGAAATAAAAAGTTAAACTTTCAACAGAGGCGCCCGTCATTGGCGCGCGAAACAATGAGCGCGATAATAACACAACGGACGAGCATAAATAAACCCATTGACACACAGAGTCCGGTTTGCTTATCCTGAAAATAACGGTCGTTATTTAACTGTGAGTCGCTTTAACTCCGACGATTCTGTTAATTTTATGATACGATTTTAGTCCAAAACGAGATAGCCGAAAACTTCCCGCTTAATAACTATTATTCTACTCTGCCCATTAGAATCATTTATTATTACTGCCTCGTGAAAATCCATTTGGGAGGCAACCGCGTTGGAATTGGAATCGAAAATCGCGCGTGCGGTATGTGTGCCATCGCGCGCGCTGGCTGGCTGGCGAATCGAATTCGATAAATTGTCACGATTCCGAAATTCGTCGAGATGAAGAAATCTGAGGGAGAGGAGAAGAGAGTGAGCGCGCATATTATGTAACGCGCAACGGATTATTTTAGCAACCCGGATTGATATTGAATTTTTGCAATTAGAAAGACGACAGTTACGACGCAGTCGGTTACGCAACATATATACGCGCGTGATTTTACAATGTAATTTTGACGTCAACAGATGTGCGCGCGCGCGCGCGCGCTTGTATGAGCGCGTGTATTTTCTGTAATCCATGAACAAGTTAGAGCACTAGAGTGAATGAGATCATTCGCACGTGAATAATATTATGTCACGCATTTTGAAAATCCAAATAGCGATACCCCGGTATCACCGTTATGACCCATAACGATCAAAATTCATGGGAACTGCAAGCGAGGCAGAATTGTCGCGCGCGCCGTTGACGTCGTGTAAATGGAAATGAGTGCACTTGTTCGTCCAAAAATCAATAGCGTTCCGCGCGAAATGGCCAATAAAATATGCAAAAGTACTAAACAATGTAAATCCCATGAATCACAGTCGTCGACAGTGTCGCTCGATTTTGCGACGGGCGCGAGAGATAGAAAGAGAGAGAGAGAGAGAGAGGAAATGATGGAGGATGCGCGATACATCGATAATACAACCGACTGTAACAGTTGTCAATGATACAGTTCTCATTGCTACTGACTTCAACAAAATGCGTAGCAGATCTGATCGTGCGCGCGATACGAATTCCATAAATTCGCAAATACGCGATAAAATTTGATAAAAGTTAAAAAAAACTTTTATAATATTCTCTCTCTCTCTCTCTCTGTGTATCCGATAAGAGATTGTCTATTATTATTTTGTTACTCACCGGACCGAATTGCTCGAAGTAATTTTTGACGTCCTCCAGCGTCGTCGGCGCCGATAATCCCCCGACGAATATCTTCTTTGTCCTCGTCACCATCTGCAAGAAAAACCAGAAGAAAAAGTAGGTAATAATATTTCAAAATTCACGAAGATTTTCTACCACAGTGCGACAATTCTTGTCAAATAATACATGAACATTTACATAGAAACGTAATGAAGAAATAAGTAACTCTTCGATAATGTATCGAATAAAAAAAAAAAAAAAGGGGAATAACATTTTCGACGCGACACGTTTCGTGCGCGGCAACGAAAATGATAAGGAATTTATCAAATGTGAGCGGTTCGCGTTTCTTCCTGAATGTTTCGCGACATTTCCAGGTAGACGACTCTCTTCCGTCGCTTCTATCTTTTCGTGTCTCTTTCCGTGCCTGTCTATCTATCGACGAGAAACGTCATAAATAATCGACGCAGGTGCATTATTAACAGCGTAAACCGAACTTACGTTTCGATATAATTTATCAATATGTAAACACGCGGAAGCGTCTTGTGAAATTCGCTCGCGACATTCGATCTTGTAAAATTTAAAAAGTTTTCGTCGCGCAACAAAATTGGCACATACGATATTCTCGCTTTGAAGTCCAATCACGAAGTTTGTACAAAAAAATAGATAAGGAAATAAAGAAAACAAGCGAAGAAAAACAGCTGCTTCTGAAGAAAGAGAGAGAGAGAGAGAGACAGAAAAAAAAGAGAGAGAGCGTTACCAGATAATGCTTTAAAAGACGAAACCTGAGAACGCGGACGTCAACTATAAAAGGTCACGGCCGAGATGGCAAGGGAATATTACTGGATGCTCGTTTTATCGTGGATTCGTCTCGAATGTGCGCGTCGTAAACTGCGAGAAATATAGAAGAAGCACACGCCGGGACAAGCGACGCGATATCATTCTTTAAGGTCACTCTCATGGCGGATCCAAAACGCGATATCGGATTCTATAATATATCGAATGCGGCCGCGCGCGAACACGTAGACGAACTTGACATCTTCGATCTCCGATATTTCTCACGTCTCTCTCTCTCTCTCTCTTTCTCGTCAGAGATATTGAACCGTCAGACCTTCATCGTTGTGCCTACACGCACTCGAGAACTGCCGCTCGTCTGGTATTTATTAGAACTATCGTGTACCAGAATAGTAAAATATATATAAGAAGACATGAAAAAAGGCGGATTATGTGCTTCGTGTGATAAGTGAAAATACGCTAAACACGAATTTGTATAAATGCAAATTTGTACAGAATAAAAAAAAAAAAAAACAAAATTGAAAATAATAACAGATACGTGAAGGTGCAATCGCAACAGCCGGGTAATTCGATAAGAACGACTCCATCGATTTTTCTCTGCGAAATCGACCATCTCAACAATGTAGATTAATACGAAGAGCTTAAAGAGAAGCTGAAAGGAAGAGATATCCCGGGAGAAAGACCGATACTTTTAGTCTTGAAATCTTGATAATACAATCGCATTGTAATAAAGCCGCGGGCGGGGAATGAAAGGCAGGAGTCGAACATTTTACGGGCGGAAGCTTCATACTGAGAAAAGGAAAGCTCGATCGTGGTGGAAAGAGATACAGGAGAGGGGAAGGAGGGAGAGGAGGGACGGCAGGGGAGATGGAGCGTGGCGGAAAGGGCGGAAGAAGTAAACTCTGGCAATTTCAGTGATGGCTGGGCTTAGACATCTCTATATCCGGTGAGTAACGCAAACCCCCGGAAGGACGCGAGTCTTTCCACCCTTGCGCGTTCCCGAACCCTCCCTCCCTCCCTCTCTCCTTTCCTTCCTCTCCTCCCGTCTCTTCCCGCCAACCCCTCTTTCTCTCTTTCGACCCTTCCTCATGCAAACTCGCTCTTCGTTTCGGCATCTTACTCAGGAGGGGAATAAAAGAGGTGCGCGTTTCTCTCGCGAGGTAGATAGGTAGGTTAATCAGCGAAGTGTATAAAGTCTCGGAGATAAAAATAAAATAGCTGGATCACGAAAATTAAATAAACGACTCGTCCCGATTTCGTCGGCGAGAAGCTCATCGTAAAGAGATAGCAAAGACAGACACACACATATATATATATAGAGAGAGAGAGAGAAAGAGAAAGTTAAGGATAAAGAAGAATGGCACATTATGGATGGACAAAGTGAGGAGAGCCGAGGAGCGATGGGAGAGCGAAGAAAGCGAATCTAAACTAAGAAGGCCACTTATTCGAATGAAGCCGTTGCAGTTTCCTCCTCCTTTTTTTTTTACCATTTGTACCGAAAAAACGTTCAATTTGACTTTCCTCGTGTTTTCCGCTACCAAATGAGATTCATAATCAGTCTGAAATCTTTTTCTAAAATACTGTTATTGTCGATTTACGATAACAACAACACAGTTGCACGTCCCCCAAAAACAAGTGACATAATTTGTAACATCGCTATCTCGGAGATGTGGAAGAAAATACATATATCCGCTTTTATATGTTTCATTTTTTCTTATCGCACGACAGAGTGGCAAAACAATAAATAAACTTGGCTTCGAAGTCGTGTTGTTGTTCTATAATGTCTTGTAGTTTCTTACGCTGAAGTAAATTCGCGCGTTCTCTCTCTCGGACATAAAAAAAAAACAAAAAAAACCAAAAAAAAAAAACAAAAAAACAGACGAAGTCAATCAAGGCGAATAAGCGGTCAAATTTTTGTTGCAAAGGCGATACTCCGACAAAAGATAGGGTTGCGGAGACGACAGGGTGAATCGTTATTTCGCCCGTGGTTAACCCGACGAAGAATAAGGTGGAAAAATATAAGTCACGAGAAGGTAGGAGGGAGGGAGAAAAGCGGGAGCCCCTCGGGTCGTTAGCGGAGATAAGAGCGGATAGCGGCACAGAATGATAATGGAAACTCGCCGAGTTCCACTTATTACGCCGTAGCATTATGTAAATACCGGAAGGCTATTACAATTTTACAACTTACTAGGAGTGGCTTTATAGTTTCATCGCTCGAGGAGAAGATTGGGAGAAAAGGGCTGTATCATCCCTCTTTACCGCCGGACCTTTTCCTATCCACACTCGATACGACTGTGCACATGTTTCTGACTCGCCTTTAACGTTTCCGCATTTACGAAAATGAAATCGCGCTTGAGCAAGATACAACCACCCTCTTTGCGGTATTTCTGCGAAGCGCGCGCGTGCGCTCTCTCTCTCTCTCTCACCTATTTGCAGAAATTTAATATTCCTCTATAATTAACTTGCAGCCTAATGCGATTTCGTGATGACGTAAGCTGGTTTGAACTAATTTTAGATATTGTGCGCTGTTGATAATCTATTGATTCATCTCAAAAAAAAAAGAAAAACAAAATTCATTCTGAAAATAAAATAAAAATTACCAACCATTATCGCGCGTAAAATGCGGGCTTTCATATTATACGATTGGCTTTTGTGAAATAAAAACTTCCATTCTCCAACAAATCCAAATTATTATATAACGCAAATGACGAGCGCGGGAACGCGCGCGCACGCGTGTGTGGAGTTCGCAATAAAAAGTGCGCTTAATGGCGACGCGAAATTTCATTTAAAAAAAAAAAAAAGAAAAAAACCAAAAAGAGATAAAAAAGACAAGAACAATAGTCAAGCGTGTCTTTTATGACCGTCGGGCATTATCGTTCCACGTTATTGCAACGTATTCGTAAATGTCATAATCAGTCCCCGCGCGTTTCCACGGCGTTTTCTCCAACCCTTCAATGAGGTCGTACCCGACGCCGCGCGACGTGCAGAAACGACAAGGAAAAATATTGGAATAAACGTTAATCGGCGGTCTCGCGCGCTTTAACGGCAAATGCTTTTGCCTCCGTTCGCGATCGTTTATTCGGGTTTAATCGCGCGTTTCGATGAGACTGCGCGCAACGTAGGAAACACTACACCTCCCTTCTCCTTCCGTCCCTCCTCCAAGTCGCGCAATTTGCTGGAAATGCAAGCGTGATTTTTAAGTGAGCGCTTAAATCCGACGAGCGCGCGCGGCGCGTTGTTAGATAGCGGCGCGAGAATGTATGTCACGATTATTTCGTTCGTGCGCAGAAACAACGCCGTAATCGCATTAAGCATTAACGCTGTGAAAATTTCGTACTTTGTTAAACGGCGTTAATGCACCTACGTGACGGAACAGAGAAACTCGTAAAGAAACAAAATGCTACACAACTGCGTTGTATATACATATACACCTTGCTGTTGTATATGCGAATAATAAATTATCGTGTTTCCCATTGCGTCATGTACACTATCAATTTTGTGACGCAATAGCCTTCAATAATGCGTCCACGGTTGAATGGCCTATCCATCCGCACATTATTGTATATCGCGGTACTGCAGTAATCAAGTTGACTTAAAAATCGATAACGCACAAATCGGTTCTGACGCACTGCAAATATTACTTTGTTCACTCTCTCACTTCTTTTCATAATTTTCAATCACACGTAACGTAGACACCACTCCGTCGCAAAACACACACCCATTATCAAACGCACACAATCCACGTGTTTTTTGAATAATTTCGTAAAGTAAGACTTGAGAGAGAAAAATAAAATAATATATTTACATAAATATTATATAATTTTAAAATATAACACGTTTTATATTAATTTTAAATTATGAGCGCGCACATATGCAACTTCAACCAACAGGTGTGCCGGAGAGATGGACGGACGTGTCCGCAAAAAGAGACGGGCTCCAATTATTTCTTGGCAGCAAATAAATGCCTCTCTTTTGAAAAGTCACACTCGATGTCTGACGTGCGAACACAGACAGTAAAATATAGTACATACACACACAAAATTTATGTGTTCAACGCGATTAATTCGCCGGGTTTTATTGATTAATAAAAACAAAGCTGAAAACGATCGCGGTTAAAACATTTTTTTTCGAAAATGATCGATGACATTGACAGACTTCGCGGTCACACGAGAAAAAACAGATGAAGGGGATCCGAGACGCGCAACCCCTCGGGATGATAACCGATTTGCCCGGCCTTCTCCCTCGCCCTTTTGCCCTACTTTTTCTCCCGACTAGCCCAGTGCAGCACAGTCTTTCTTCTA